GGCCAATCAGGGGACAATGTGGGCAGCCAGCGGCCAGCCCCGCCCCCCAACCCCCATTGTGCCACCACCATCAGTGGCCTCCCTCTGCAAGAGGTGACCCCGGCAGGCCATTCTGGGGAAGTGAGTGGCCGGCCCTGCCCCAAATCGCCCCACCACTGCTGACGTCCGTGGCCTCCCTCTGCGGGAGGTGACTGGGCAGGCAATCAGGGGATAGCGCCGGCTCCCATTGCCCCGCTGCTGGTTGCCACACTCCCCCCCACCCCACCCCATCACCGTCCCCTCCCTCTGCCAACTGGCATGCGCCTTGGCGGGCCTATCACCACCTGCTTGCCAGCCCCACCCCCCGCCGACCTGTAGTTCTGCCATTTGGTTGATTTGCATATTATGCTTTTATTATATAGTATAATTTATCTACAAAAAGAGTAAATATATAAATTTATGCCCACACAATGCACATCATAAAGAGAATATCCAAATGATACATACTGAGAAAGTGCTCACATCCGGCCTCACCAGTAAAATGCAACAAGATACCCATACTTACCCACAGAAGAGTTAAAATGGAAAAGGCTGACAATACTAAGTATTCCAAGAATATAAAGCAACTAAACCTCTCACACATTGCTGGGGAGGGTGACGTGGCATCCACTTTGGGACACTGTTTGGTATGCCAACTAAAGAGAGCACATACTTACTCCCCCACCTAGCAATCCCATGCCCAGGCACCCGCAGCCAGAAAAAATAGAGGCAAAAGCCACCAGGACACCAAGGGGACCCAATTCCTCATCTGTTGTACCACTCAGACCATTGACTGGGAACATTCACACCACCTTATCTAATAAAGAATTTGGCACTTAACTATTCAACAAAACTACATAAGCACTTACATTTTGAGCCAGCAGTTCCACTTCTAAGGATTTACCTTACAATAAGAAACAAAAGATGTTTGTGCAGGATTACTTGTTGATGTATTCTGAGTAATCACAAAATACAGACTCCATCAGTATTTTGGAAGGAAACTGATAAAAGCTGCCAAAGTTCCCATCATGGGGTGTAAAGGTGGATGGATGTGTGTCGGGGAAGGGGTAGGGGTAAACAGAGGGTTGGCAACAGGCTAGCTTAACAAACTGATCTTTCCCTCAATGGACACTGAGATCATAGGCAACCCTGTCACCTGCTTTAGTCAGTTAATGTGTTATGTCCCAGAAGCTTTGGCCTTTTAATTTAAACACCTCCCACTGGACCAGGCAGCTGGACTCCAGGTGAACCTGTTTAGCAGCACTCTGTGGGCCTGACCCAGGGACTGCAGAGCTCACCAGTGAAGCTCTCTGGCCCTGGGCACTCCTAGGAATAAGTTCTCTTTCTTGGCTGCTGCTGGTCACCTCGAGAACTCCAGGCTCCAAGATGGTCCATGGGGGAATCAACTACTCTGGGAACTCATAGTTCCTCAAAAATATATTTACTAGCTCTGTTCCCTTAAAAGGCCTAGAAGTAATGATTCCCAGTAGCAATAAGCACACCTAGCACTCAGACTGGTTTTCTAAATTCCATTCTCCACTAAAAGGAACCAGAAGTCCCTGGAGAAATAGCTGAACCAGTGCTGGAACAGGGAAAGAACTAAGTGAGAGTGGAATAGATATTACTGCGCCAGAAAGCAAAGCAGGGCTCAAAGAAGGATGAAGACATATCAAAAAGCCACAGAAACCAGTCTGAAGGGGCTCCCAGTGTCTAAATATGAAACAATTTGAGCTTCAATAATAATAATATTCTTAATATTGGTAGTGGATGATAACATGCCCTAAAAAATAATGCATGATACTTTTAAAAAGAAGGGCAAAGGGGAAAGCATTTTTTTAACAGATGAAATACTAACAAATGTAAAAGAATGATAGAAAGTCATCACTCGGCAAACATTAATGTAATAACTGACTTGGAAAATGCCCACGAATGAAATCTAAAACCATTTTGTAAGTCTTGAGGAACAGAATGCTCTTAGATTCTCTTAGTCCATCCAACAGCTTCCAAATTAATAACAAGGGAAAAGGTACCTCGACACCAGAGTGATCTGATGGACATCAAGTGAATCAGTATCATCAATGTGTGCCTCTGAGGTGAGGCTATGGGAAATTCACACTATCAAATTTAACCTGAATCTAATCATAAGGGACAGTCAAAGGCAGACTGTGAGACATCTATAAGTCAACTGGCCAGGACATTTCAAGAAAGGTTAAATGTCATGAAAGCCCCCCCAAACCCCCAGTCCAAAAATGGCAAAAGGACCCTTTTAGATTAAAGGACTAAAGAGCAAACAAACCAAATGCCATATATGATCTGTCTGGATCCTGGGGTTAAAAAAAGAAGTTCTAAAGAAGAGTTTAGGGAACATGGAAAATTAAACTACAGATTCTACATTAGAAAAATATTGACGTTAATACTGATGTTAAATTTCCTGAGTGTAGTAAAGTCACTGCTATTAGACAGTGGAACAGCCTTGGTCCTAGGCACAGTGAAGGACCATAGAGTCATCCACTTTCTTCAAATGGTCTGGGAGTACACATGCCCAGAGCAAACATGGTGGGTGGGCCAGGTGAAGGGTGTTATGTCTTTTTCTACTTCTTTCAAGTTTTCTGTAGGTCTGAAAATTTACAGAATAAAAACTTGGAGGAAAAATGAAAATTTTAACCGTTTGACTGCTAAGGAGCGCTATCGCGCTCTTATTTAAAACAAATTTATGTAAACAATTGGTATTTTTTAATTTTTGTTGTTGCAAAGCAATACAAGTGAGTTTATTGTATAAAAAGTGTTTTACATTTTTTCCCATACACGCGCTATTAGTGGAGCAGTTTTGGCATATGTCCGAAAAAATAAGTCAGCAGCCAAACGGTTAAATGTAAACAGCTTTAAAAAGTAACAAGGCACCCAGAATAATAAATAAATAAATAAAACAAAAACAGAGCCATGTGTGGGCAGAGAATGTAAAAGATGAAAAAAAACCCAAAACATTCATATTGGTTTTCCAGTGTCTAAGTCCTTGCTCAACTTTAAATAAACTGATCTTGCTCAGCTGGTGTAGCTCAGTGGTTGAACGTCTACCCATGAACCAGGAGGTCATGGCTGGATTCCGGGTGAGGGAACATGCTAGCTCAATCCCCAGTAGCAGGCATGCAGGAGGCAGCTGATGGATGACTCTCGCCCTCTCCCTTCCACTCTCTGAAATCAATAAAAACAAGTTTAAGCAAAAAAACTGATATTTGAAAATGTTAAGTCTGCAAAGATAAGGCCACAGTACACTTATCCTTAAGAACAGGTCTTAGGCCTCAATTAAAAGACTGGCAAATGAATGTACTTTTGTGTTTTAAGTTAAAATAAAAGCATGGGTCTGTTTTTTCATGATTCCTGTTGTAATCAATGTATTCAAGCTTTGAATACATACATAATTGTACGAAATATACTACTGCCATTTACTGGCTGCTGTATGGTCAAAACCGCTTGGAGAGACACTTCCCAAAGGATACAAAGTATGCCAAGTGCTCACACACAGCGTGTACTGAAAGGTAGCTATGACTAGATCAGTGGTTCTCAACCTTCCTAATGCCACGACCCTTTAATACAGTTCCTCATGTTGCGGTGATCCCCAATTTCACTGTTACAGATTGAACATAATTAAAACATAGTGATTAATCACAAAAACAATATGTAATTATATATGTGTTTTCCGATGGTCTTAGGGGACGACCCCCCCCCCAAAAGGGTCGCGACCCACAGGTTGAGAACCTCTGGACTAGAGGCTCCCAGTCTGGACTCCTTGCTACCTCCACCTCCTGCTTCCACCGCCGTCTCTCCGAAAACAAAACCTCTAGGTCAGGCCTCTGGGTCAGGCCTTCTTCCCTGGCTACACTGGGGCTGAACCCCACCTCCTTCGCGTGGCTAACGGGCCCTTCAGCATCCCCTACGACTAGGGACCGCTCTCCATACACGCGGACGTCCCTAAACTGAGAGCAGCGACCATCGGCGAATCCCTGGGTCTCCAAGAAACACGGCGGCGCGTCTGCTTCAATCATCCTTGCTTCCCGGGTGCTGTCAGCCAAGAGACTCAGCCGGACGGGAAGTGTCCATCCAGACCCCAGCCAGCCACGAGCCGGCTGCCCGTCCACCCGACCCCAAAGCCCGGCAGCCAAAGGAAAGAGGCGAACACACTGCAGACCGCGCGCCGCGCGGAACAGCGTTACCTGCTGCAGGTACTGGTTGATGGTGATGTGCGCCATGGTAGCTCCCACCGCGCCGGGACCAGACGGAGCATGCGCGCAAGGCCGCGCGTCACTTCCGGCTCGGTCAGTTCCCAGCCCGGCTCCCCAGACCCAACTTTCCTCGCACGTTGGTTCCGGAGGCAGTGTTCGTGGGAGCGCGAGCCCGGGACCGGCGTGGCGATGTGCCCGGGCTGAGGAAGGCTGGGCTTCTCTCTGCTGCAAGGCCCCCAACTACCCCTGGACGAGGACGCCTGGTCCGCGCCCCCTGGGTGCTCCGGCCAGCCCAGGGCGCGCCGGTACCCGGGGCCTGATAGGGCTTTTGCTCCGCCGCCCCCCTGACTGTTGCAAGTTCCACACGGACCTCGGCGGACGCGGACTGGCCGCGCTCGCGAGCCCAGGGTCGGTGGCCAGGTCGCGGCCGGGGCGGGAGCGGAGCGGGGCGGGGCCTGGGTGAGGCCGTGCGGCGGTTGGGCCGGGCCGGGGCGGCGCTGACGGGGCCGGGAGTTGCCGAAGGGAGCGGAGGAGGGAGGCCCTGCCGCGCGGCTCGGGGAGGAGGCGGAGAAGACGGCCGGACGGGGCGGGGCGCCCACTGCTTCCCGGCCGCAGCCATGGCCGACGAGACCCCCAGGAAGGGCAACTTCTCGGCGCTCGTGGGGCACACCAATGGCCTCACCAAGCCAGCGTCCCTGGCCGCGGCCGCCGTCTCCTCCAAGCCAGGGGGCGGCGGCGGCTCCAAGAAACTTGTGATCAAGAATTTCCGAGGTGGGTACCGGGAGCGGCCTACGGA